TGATATGGGAATTGATGTAACAGATTCTATTGTTGTTTATGAAGATAATCAATCAGCAATACAGATGGCTTCAAATATTGCTGTTAAAACAAGAATGAAACACACAGATTTAAGATATTTAAATGTGAGACAATGTGTGCAAAGTAAATGATTAAGCTAGAATACTGTATGTCAGAAAACAATATAGCAGATCATTTTACAAAGGCCCAAGGCTCTATAAAGCATAAGGCTAGCTGTGAAGATTATGGACTTAGAATGTAAGGTTGTATATATTGTCTTACCCAAAAGGGGAGAATGTTAGGAATATGAGTCACCTAACAGCTATTTGGGTTAGAAATATATAAACCAGGATAAACGTTTTAAAACTGTATTTTTAAGAAAATGCAAAACTGTAATTAGGTGTGGTTTCTCAAACGGCCATAAGATGGAGCCAGAAACCTGGGTTGTTTAGTCTGAGTCTCAGAAGAGAGTGTGAGTAAGTCTCTCTGTTTCCTTCTGTTGGAAAGTATTGCTGTTCTTCTATTTCTTCTAATTGACTGATATTACTGGATTTAATGTAAGTGTACTGAACTGTTTTTGACACTGGACTTTGATATTTGGATTATCCCTGGATTGAAAACTGACTGATTTAACCTGTGAATGACTTTGGACTGCCTATTTTGGACTTTGCTTAACGTTTCTGGAAGTAAAAACCTATATTTACTGTACAGTGTATCTGTGTGTATTATTCAAACACTACTCTCTATACTTCTCCCTGTATGTGCTCATTCTCCTAACGAGGAATTACCTCAACAGTTCCTTTTACTTTTTTTACCTCTATGAGTCATGGGAAGGATAATAAATAATTATATTAGTAGGGTAGTATGTGTGTGTTTATAATACACTTTTTTACTTTAGGTATGTAGTACGTGACCAATTAACTTGGCATTTCTTTTCTTATAGTCAGAGCAACACCTCTTCTGCATGACCCACTTTAATGATTAATCTCACAGCATCTGTTTGCTTTGAATAAAAAGCATTTTTTTATTTTGCATTAGAGATAATTTTACAAATAATTCATCAGAATTATTGGTGTTTAAAAAAAACAAACTTTTGTTTACAGGGCACTATTTAGAAGAAAATCATGTAAAGTTTTTATACAAAATATGCTTACTATTACATTTCAGAATTACATTACTGACTTAGGAAATAGTGTAACATCTCTTCTGTTTACAACCAGGCATGTCTCAATCAGATAATTCCACTAGATCAGTGGTTGCCAACCAGTGGGCTGGGGACCACTGCTGGTCTGCGAGAAAATTTTGGTGGTCCGCAGAGAAATATCACCCCAAAAGCACCCCCCAAAGCAATTAATCCAGGCTGCTTGGGAACACAAGGCTGCACCGCCCATATGGCCCGTGGGAACACAAGGCTTGTGTTGCTTGAATGTTGAACAAGAGGTAGTGAGGGGAGGGGGAAAGGGCGGAGGGGGGAAACTTGCCCCACGCGCCCAGCCTGGCCACCGGGCTGCTTCTTTCCACTTCTTTCTTCTTTGGCTTTTGGCTGTACACAAGGAAAGCAGCAAAAGGCTTTCTTTCTCTCCCCAAATGAGTCTTTGGGACCCTGCGCAACAAGTCTCACAAAGACTCATTTCTGGTGGAGTTTGGGGGAAGAGAAAGACTTCTGCTGCTTTCCTTGCATGAAGCCAAAAATCTCTCTCTCTCTCTCCCCCTGAGAATGGAGCTGGAGACGGTATCCCGTGATCCCAAATAAAGAATGATTGATCGGTAGGAAAACGGGGTGTGGAATTTTCCTGCAGACTTTTTGGGGGGATTTCCCCAGGGTCTCTGATCTGTGGGATTTAAATTTATGAGTTTGGTGGTCCCTGAGATCCAAAAGGTTGGCTGATCTAGATAGTTCTTGCTTTACTGAACTGATAAGACAATGCAGTCTTTCTTTTCACACAAAGCTTACTCATAACAAGAATCATGTCAGTAAAAGGCCTCATCGGCCTCTCGGGGTAAACCATATAGGAATCACAACCAGATGAGCTAATTCTACTTTATTGTAATGCTATTTTGATAGAATGTTGCAAGTTTGAAAGAGCAATCCCTCCCCACCATCCCCTTTACAGCCTGAGAAACTAGGGAAGGTCTCTTCTCAGCCTCTTGCCCCCACCCCCTATCCAGGTTTCAGGTTTTGCTGCCTTTTCATTTGACTACAGGTAGACCTTGCCTTACAACTGTTCATTTAGTGACTGTTTGAAGTTACAACAGCCCTGGAAAAAGTGACTTATGACTGTTTTTCACAACTTACAACTGATCATGTGATTAAAATTCAAATGCTTAGCAACTGACCCATATTTACAATGGTTGCAGTGTCCCAGGGTCATGTGAACTTTGCAACCTTCTGAGGAGCAAAGTCAATGGGAAAGCCAGATTTGTTTACCTACTATGTTGCTAACTTAATAGTTGCAGTGATTCACTAAACAATGGTGGCAAGAAAAGGTTGTAAGTGGGGGCAAAACCCACTTAACAAATATCTCATTTAGCAACAGAAATTTTGGGCTCAATTGTGGTTGTAAGTCAAGGACTTTCTGAATTCCCTTGGTGGTGTCTCTTTGCTGTTTTGTCTCTCTTTCAAAAATTTTCCCATGTACTATTACACGATTGGTCATTTTTCATTCATCGTTATATTCAAATAGTGCAGGATAGATTTATTATTGTTTGTAAATTCTATTTCACCTCATGTAACTATGGATGCGAAAATTCTGGTTTGACTCCCAAGGCATTTAACTGAACGCTCAGTGGGGTTTTATAATGTTCTCATTAGCATAGTGTCTTAATGTCTGCCATTAGCACTTTAAGCAACATTAACATACTATATAAATGGAATGAAATTAGGACTACTAGTTAAGTGTCCTAATTCTATAATCACAAGTGTTTATACATATGAACTTATACAGTATAATTATAATCACAAATTGGATTTGTTCATAAAAAAGTAGAGGTCTTATTTCTATGTCACTTTTAGTATCTCTCTCTCTCATATATGGATTTGTTCAGCATCAATGGGTGTGGTGAAAACTGTACTTCTCCAACATAGCCATTAATGTTCATTAACTATCAAAACTAAATAAAGGTTGGCAATTGGCATACGGTTAGTTACATAATTTAAGAAACAAGGGCAGGCAATGATATGTTCACAAGGGAAAAACCTCTCACTTCATATGTAGTTTTTTGTGAATTTGGAAATCGGGCAATCAGAAAGCTATATAAGCAGGAAGAATTAAATGGGAAGTGCAATGAAGGAAACCCAATGGATTATGTAAAACTAGTCTTTTAAGATTAATTAACAATTCATTGTTTAAAACAGCACAGTATAATCACATCAAACTTGGCCAGACTTTTTATTTATCAATGTAGCATGCCCAAAGTCCAGCTACTGCTGTTATAGAAAAGTATTAGAGGTTATTGTTAGCCAAACAAGTAGCAATAAACAGCCTAACCAAACCACCAAGACCACTCCCACTAACACTGATAGGGGCATACCATTAGAATATAAGTTGAGAGCAAACCCCACTCTTTACTAGCACTGATGAAGTTACCTAGTTTGGTAATGAAACATCTGCAAGAAAATCACCAAGGACCCCACAATTTCAGCCTGAGCTGCTAATGTTCTCTACTATTGATAGAAAAGTGTATTTCATAAATAATATTGTGTTACTAGGTATTACTGCAGGGAAGGCTGTTCAGGTGAACCAAGGCTTATAATGACTCTGACAGTGAAACTGTCATCAGTGCCATGCTTAACATTTTAGAACAAGCAGAGCATCCGAGCACTCTCAAATGCACATTCCTCAAGCCAAATTCTATGCAGATTCTCAGTGATCCAGGTCATGGTTGTCCCAAAGGTGCTTTTTCAAGAGGCAAGTGGACATTCTGGATTTTCTCTGAAGACGTTCCGCTTCTCATCCAAGAAGCCTCTTCAGATGAGAAGTGAAGTCTTCAAAGAAAAGACAGAAAGTCCAGTTGCCTCTTGAAAAAAAACACCTTTGGATTCCTCAACCCACGAACATATCCACCATACAGCTTACCAAAACGAAAACAAAAACCCGATCAAGTGAACTTGAGTCTCCGCATCTGGCTTTAAAAATCAACTTCTTTTGTGGAGTCTTTACAATTAAAAGACAGGGACACACGTGTCTAGCAGAGTACCGTAGGCTGAACACGCTTCCCTTCTTTCCTTTTCCAAACCACCGTGGAAATATTGCTCCCGCAGCCCCGTCTCGGCGGCCCAGCCTTCCTTCCACCAGTAGGTGTTGCCCTGACACCAGACTCAAGATTGTAGTTGACTAAACGGCCGCATATCCGAAATCCGAATCTACAGAACCACCACGGTCAGATTCGTTTCCTTGTAAAATAGCTGATACACCCGCTCTTTACCGTCGAACGCCTCAATGAGGTGTTATAATAAAGACTCTCCGTTTGTTCTCCAGTCTTTCTGGGGCTCCGGCTAAAGACTTTAGACCCAGCCTTTCCCTCCCACGACTCCCTTTGTTCTCAGCACAAGCTTCGCTGTTTGGAAAAAGAGACCAATAAGCACGAAAAGGCCGGGGCGTTTCAGAGACCCCAAAGTATTTCGGCCTGGACGTCATCGCAAAAGATAGACGACCCAATGTCACCCCACTGCTAACACCCATCCCAGGTCTACGAGATTTCGCCTTTCACTATAGTTATCTGTAACTACAGCATTAAGGGCTGCTGCTCACCCCACCCCACCCCACCCCGTCCCGCCTTCCTCTTCCAGCGCCTTCCAGCGCCGGACGACAATACGAGATTGTCAATGGACAGCTGGACGAGGCAGGCGGAGATGCATCCGACCCCGCTGCTGGCCGCGGTGTAAGGGTACCACGCAACTCCCGCGCCGGGTAGCCAGGTGCCCCGGAGCACGTGCTCTCCCGCCTACAATGCCCCGCCCTCCATGTTGGCAATTGTCTATGGCGGGACCGGGTTGGGCCGGCCGGGGCGGGGAGTCACATGAGCAGCTGCCTGAGCTTGTCCTGCTCGGTTGGCGAAGAGCTTCGGCTGGGCCTGGCGGGGGCGAGGCTTCCCATGGCCGCCAATTTCTCCCTCCCCGCACCCCCAACTGCTTGGCTAGCTACAGGTTTGAGGGAGCAGCGGCCGAGTGACCACCTGTGAGGAGCATGCGCGCAACGAAGGTAACCTCCTTCTGGTCCTTAGTTTAAGCCTCCGCGGTTCTGTCGCGGGGTTTTCTTACACCCCCCCCCACCTTCAAACGTTGCTGCCCAGAGGAAGGACACGAATGGAAGGGTCGTTCTGGGTTGTGAGAGGGGGTTGTGTTCGCCTCTAGCCAACCTTAAAGCGGGGCAGCCTCTCCTGGAATAATTCACCTCTTTGCCAGTCAGAGTTAAACCGGCTTTAACCAAGAGTTGCTCTGAAGAGAAGACTCGATCAAGTGCCCTTCATAGGAAAATGGCCTTGAGGGGAAAAAAAAACCACCCCTCATTTTCTGCATTCCTGTTAGAGAGACGATGGTCCAAGTGAGGCAAATGTTAGCTGTAAATTTCCTCCTACTCATTTGCTTGCACAAGGAATGGGGTCACAAGTCCTGTAGAAGAGCAAGTAGATTGACTCGTTGGGTGTCTTTCTTAAAGGGAAGATATTCTGCCTCAGATGAGGAAGCAACTGCTGTTTTTGTTTTAAAGTATTTTTCTTTGAAAAATACACTATTGGTTGTTTTGCCAACCCAGGTAGTAGGCTTTTGTTTTTGGGATTTAAAAAATTCATGAGTACCTTTAATATATAAACGGTAACTTCTTTTTTTTTTTTCAAAAGCTTGTTCTGACCATGAAATCACATGTTGGGTTCATGGCAAATATGAGTAAGCAAACTCATGGCTGAAAGGGAGTCTCAAAATGTCTTAGCAAATACAGTCAGTCCTCAACTTATGATCATTTGTTTAAAAAGTGACTTTCAGTTGATCCTGCACTTTGACTGTCATGGTATCACCATAGTCACATGATCAAAAGTTGGGCTCTTCCCAACATGTATTTACAATGGTTGCAGTGTTCCCAGGACCACATGATCACCATTTGAGAGCTTCCCGGAAAGCAAAGGCAATGGGGAAAGCTGAATTTGCTTAGTGACTGTGGCAAGAGACATAAAATTGGGATGCAAGTCACTTTTAGAGATTGCATTGTTTAGCCATGGAAATTCCTGTCCCAATTGTATTGTAAGTCAAGAACAACCTGTATTATCAAGATACAGCCCTGCAATTTAGTTGTACAGGTAGCACAACTTGTCAAATTAAAAAGAAAGATATGGGTCAAAGAAGGATTGGGGGAGGGGTGAATTGTGGTACTGTAAGTCTTTTGCCTTTACTGTGGTTTTTTATTACTTGTAATTCACATGAGGCCTTTTCAACATTATTGGAGGTAATTTTGAGCTGCATTTAGCACTAATGTGGGGAATTGAGCAGGACCGTCTTAAAATTTTATTTGCTAGGATTTTTAATTTAGAATCACACTGATTGGAATGGAGCCTCATTGTATTGTTACCAAATTTAATTTTGTTTTGATGAAAAATTACCAGTTTGCTAATCATATGCATCCAAGTGATCAGAATTATATACACCTCATCTTTATTTGCTAGTTACTCAGAGCAGCTTAAAAAAATACCTATTATACAAGATGTTAAATACAGTGATTTATTTCATTAATTTAGTTCTTGCAAACACTGGAAGCAATTTCATTTGTGAGGGCTTTGCTTATGGGGATGATTTACTAGTTGTTAGTGTAGACCTACATAATTATTCCTAGTTAGCTGAATTGAATATTGTTTAAATGAACCTTCTTACAAATGTTAAAGTTGTATTTTTATTTCAAAAAATAAGAAAAGATGATTTTAAGTGATCAGTGCTTTTGTTTAGTTTTCAATCTAGGACTGTCATTTTCTTTCTATCAAGTGCACAATCTCAGAAATTCTTTGTTACAGCATTTCTTACTATAACTATGCAACAAGCTCTTTGGCTTGAAAGCAAGAAGATGCTTCTGAGTCCATGGAGACATGAATGTAGTCCCTATTTATTCCTTATTAAACCAAATGTGTGCTTTCTTGGGATCGCACAACACCAGCAGAGGACATTAACCGAATCCTGAGAAAAGATGTAGCTGCTTTAAAGAGTGCAGATAGGCGTTAAGTTCATGCAACTTCCAGGCTCCAAAGCACCTTTTTGTCTTCAAACCTAAAGTCCATAACAACCCAGTTTCTTACATGGAACACAATATTTTGTCAGCGCTGAACGTATTAAATTGCTTATGTTTATGTCTTCTAGAGGCACCTTTTCCTATGACAATATGATAGTGATCAGTAAATCATAATGCTTCATTCCTGGTATATCACAAGATTATTGAGTGAATTGTGTTCCTTGCTATAAATTCTGTGCCATAGCACAAAACCAAGAAAAAGGTGTAGTAAATAGTCCTATCTGTACCTTACACTTAATATTTCTTTTTTAAAGGAGGATATTCTGTGAAATCATAGGAAATGGATCTAGTCTATTTGAAATGCTTGCTTCAACAACCTAATGGAAGAGTCTTTTTGAAGATTGTGGCAGAAGTTTTTTAAATTTTTGAGCTTCTACCTGCTATGGAACAAAGTGAGAATCAAGAAGCATCCTCATCAGAGATTCAAGATGATAGCAAAAGCAATACAAGACTTCTGCCTAGCCTGGCTGCTGCTGTCAAAGGGGAAATAAAGAAACATGCAGTTACAGATGACTATAAAATCTCTAAACGGGTTTTGGGCCTTGGTATTAATGGAAAAGTATTGGAATGTTTTCACAAAGTGACAGGACGGAAATGTGCTTTAAAGGTATGTAGAGATGATTCATCCTGATTTAGCTGTTAATTTTCCTTACTTGATGTATAGGCTAAAAGCAATTGTTGAGGCCTAGGTAATAATGTATTTATATTAGAAAGTCTAAATTGCCTTTCCCAGCTTTGTGCTTTTCGGAAGTGTTAGAATTCACAACCAGCACAGCCATAATTCATAGCCAGAAGAGTCAAAGGTTACATTACTGGGCATGTGGATTGATAGCAAAACCAACAGAATATTCAGATTCCAGGATTCTTTCATATCAGCCTTATTTTTAAATTTAGAACTGAGCCCAAGGATATTTTTGTTTATACACACTAAAACAAATGCTGTTGCTTGCTTTTTTCTGTGATAATTAAAATGCCAGTAATTTCTTTTGGAGGAATGAATTTTGAAAATCTGTATATTAAATTAACCTATGTTAAGAAATAGAAAATGATTGAAACTGCTTTTAAAGAAACAAAATAAAAAATGTAATAGGTTTTTTGGTACCTATAACATTTGTTTGGAATAAGATTCATTTGTAGTTATTAAATAATTTCTGGTATTTTTTGGTTAGAACATTTATATTGAGAGATTAAATATTGTACTACATGGTGTTCTTGTACATGGAGAACTGACACCAAAGTCAAAATAGGACCATGATTAATAACTCAGCTAGAACCTTCATGGCAGTTAAGGATAATGACATTAAAATCACAGAGTGTGTACATTACACCTTTATGGAACTTAATTATGAATAAAATGGGCCTTAGCTGTCAAGTATATGTAAACAGAAGTTACAGTGAAATGTAGGTCTTCCGGTTTGAGCTTCTTCGGCGACAGACCGAAACCTTGTCTGTCCAAGGCTTCGATCCGTGCTCACTGCTGGAGCGCCCCGAGCCAGCTGGTTTCAGGGCTAAGCCACCCCGTAGAGGTGATGAAGAGGGGTGAGACTGCACACAGGGTTGAGGAGAGCCGCATCTCTCCTCCCCAACTGGCCATTATTCCCTTTCCCGAAGGCGGTTGTAGCGGTGGTCAGAAATGGCCACCACAAAGAAGAACTCAACTGGAAAAGAATGTGCAGGAGGAAGATAAGAAGAGAAAGATTTGGTTGACTGGGTCAAACAGCAAAAGCAACAAATAAGGTACCCTGGAATTTAAACTTAACAACATTGTTCCCAAAGAAGATTTTGAAGCTGCGAAGGAGAGAGAGAAGGGAAAGGATTAGGTTTTTTTTTTCTTCCCTTCCTTATACTGACAGCCAAGAGACTTAAGCAAGAAACTGAAAAAAAAATCCACTTTGACATTAATAGGCATCTAAGCTGAAAATAAAAGTCAAAGGGATAAATAAAGATTTCTGGACATTTAAAAGTTTTTAAAAGCTGGAAAGGAGAAAAAAAAAGAATAGAAGGGCAGGATCTGGAAAAATGGAGGAGACTGCCTGGAATTAAGCAATGGAACTGTAATTAAAAGGAACTTACAGTGAAATTTTAACAAGATTCCTCAAAGATACATTTTAATGGAAACTTGGTAACAAAATAATAGAACCCCAGGAAGAGAAAGTGGAAAAAAGAAGCAAGTAGAAACAGCCTTGGATTATTTGGATTACTTGGTGATTTTTGGGTTTTGCATCTAGATGACTAAAATTAACTGGGTGGTTGTTTAAACGTTTTTAAAATGGTATCACTCTTAGAAGAACTGAAAACGGAACTTTAAAAATGGAAAGAAGACGCACAAGAAGGGAGAAGTTCTTTTGGCTTCGTGTTTCAATTTGATGCTTTCGTGTTTCAATTTGATGCTTTCTTAAATAAAAGAAATTGTCTTGGAAGATGGACTTTGTTTTATTCTTTTTAAATGGATTTCATCTCTTGGAAACCAGACACCTTGATTTTTTTTATTGCTGGATCTCTTAGCAGCATTTGATACAATAGAGAATGGTATCCTATCCTATTATTTAATTAATGTGACTAGAATTACAATAATTTTTCTGACATTTCTAGTCTTATTTGACCAAACATATTCAGATGATAGGTTACAGCTTATTGTCTTAATCTTTTTGAGATGCTTCACAATTTATTATCTTCTGACAAGTATATAAAAAAAGATTTTCAGAATGTTATGGTTCAGTTGTTGCATTAATATGTTAGCTATACATCCAGCTCTTTTTCAGCTAATGCTGCATTCACAGTGGAAATATATACAAAGCCTGAATGCAGTGACTTTTGCGATTAATAACTCCTTGGATAAATTAACACAGTGTCAGTCCAGTCAAGATAGGATTCCTCTTGAACAGTAAACAACACAGGAGATGAAGCCTATTTCTGGATATACCGGTAGTAGTGCTTCTCCTGATAAGTTTAGGTAGACAGTTGGAAAGTATTCTTGTAAGTAGTACTACTTCAGAGGGGTATCTGGCAGGAGAATCAGTGGCACTATTGTTCAGCAATCTCATCTGTGAGTTTTGCAGGAGAATTTGTCCAGCATGACTCATTTTACCGAATAAATTTTGTTAGATTTATAACCCAGCTTTTTTCTAGGAGGTCATGGTAGCATCTCACTTTGTTGTGTCCATAAAGAGCAACTTTGTCAATGATAAATTAGACAAGGATATGGAGTAACTGGACTACTAATACTCTTAAATATGAAACTGATTCTGTCCACTCTTAGTTGTCATCAGTTAGTAACAAGGGGGAGTACAATGGCTCGGTTAAAAATACTGAACTTGTCAGCTGGAAAGCTGTCTGCCCAAGTTCAAGACCTGAGCACTATGTGATGGGGTGAGCTACTGTCACTTGCTCCTGCCATTCAAAAGCATGCAAATGCAAGCTAGATACCATTTCAGTGGGAAGGTAAGAGCATTCCATGTGCCTCTGCGAATAGTCATGCTGACCACATGACCACAGAAATGTCTTTGGACAGTGCTGGCTCCTTTGGCTAAGAAATGGAGATAAGCACAGCCCCCTAAATTTGGACAGGACTGTTCAGGGGAAACTTTTACCTTTGTCTTAATAAAAAAATTTCCTTTTTTATGATATGTTAAGTTTCAGCATCATACAATAAAATACAAACTAAAATAAAAGGGGAAAGGAATGACAAAACAATGAATGTGGGAAATATCTGTTTTCCCCAAGATAATTGCAACCACCTCCTCTGGTTTTATAGAAATGAATTGAAGACTGAATTACTAAATATTTTGGTCTATTTTGGTTATCTTGTTTGCGATGCTGTTGCTGAAAGGAGAGTAACCTTATACAGCATTCCAGATGTAGACCATTGCAGCTTCATAGGCTAACCTTGAAGCATTGTAGAATGGAATCAACAACAACAGCACCAGGTGGTGATGTCTAATTGCATTCTGCAATATATTTGCAATACAGAAAAGCTATTGGTTCTAATCCACTTATGTTAATTTGTTCATAAATTTTATTGAACTTAATTTGAGCCATTAATCACATGACAATATCTTATGCCATCTTTATTTCAGTAGATTTAGGTTGGGGCCATTGCTGTACAAACCACTATTATAGAATAATACTTTTCAAATTAGAACATATATTATTTTATTAATTCATAGAAAAATCGTTAGTACATAAAACTTTAAGAATTTGCACAATGGATAATGTAAAAGGAAGACAATGGATTTCTAAGTTGTTATAAACATAAAATTGACTAGGGTTAACTTCCATTTCTAGATTTCAAATAAAGTTAAAATGTGAAAGATCAGAGGCAGGACTACAGTTATATAAAATGGAAGTGAACTTTACATATTATATATAATTATAAAAAAATAACAATTATTATAGCGACTACTAGTATTCTTACACCAGAAATTTTCACATTTGTGAAAAATTTCACATTTTCATTTTTATCTTTGTCTGTAAATATCAGTTAATTGCATGAGTCAACCATAGATATAATTAATATACTTTCTCAGTTACCTTTTCTGTTAGACAACTGTCTCTGTCCTGGAGCCTTGATGATTACACTTCAATGTTCAGAATTTCCAGTTATTTTGACCCCAACTATCTAAGTTATATATTATCCAGCTTTGATGTCTCACATTCTTTTCTTTAAAAGCAGACTCAGGAAAATCTCCTTTGATGGCCATTCTGTGTCATCGAAAAAGTGAACATAAACAATAATGATTGCAATTATTGAGGAAACACTCAAGAAATCAAGGAAAGTAAAATTGTTGTAGTGAATGGGGGAAATTTCATCCCTAGAGGTTCAAACACAAACAATCAAGCAAAAACTGGCTGGGTATTTAATCCTGGTTGTATATCAAGGCAATTGATGCTGAAGAAAATCAAATGCTAAGGAACCAACTAGGAATGACAGTTCCCCTTTCAGTTTGAGAGTTTTCTTTTTAAACAGAAAGGCATAATCTTTATTTTGTCTTTTGTCTCTGGTATGAAGAGTAGGAGCTTCTCTTCCCTGTAAACTAGCTGAAAGCCAGGTAAGAAAAGAAGCACCATTCCTTAAAAATTGTCCAACAGAGATGGGGTTTTTATACTACCCATTAGGATCAATGAAACTAGACTCAAGTTGGATGTTACTGTATTTTACAGCCAATGATCTGGGTTCTTGTGGCTTTGTTTTATTTTTTCTGTCTTGATCTCAATCTCTTTGTGTGATAAGTGAGATCCTAGGCTAAAGAAGCAATTGAATAGTCTTCCCAGAAGCAAGTATTCATCTTGTCTCCTTTCTCTTTTGGTGCACTACAATTTTCTTCTAGCTTTTTTAACCTTGATATATATGTTTATAATAAAGACTTGATTTCTTAAGTGGTATTCATTCTGAAGAAAAGAATCAGCCTCTAGTGCATAGTTTCACATTTAGGGAACTACTAAAGGAAGGAAAGCCACACTTGCCGCCTCCTGAATAAAGCAGTTACTTGAAGAAAAACAGTTACCGGTAATACAGTGGGAGCATTTATCAGAAAGTAGAAGCATATGTGTAGTATTGTTGTGGCTGGAGTGTTCAGATACATATCTAGTGCCTGGTGGAGTAAATTG